TATATATATATATAGACATACACACAGAGCTGGGTAGTAACTGATTACATGTAATCTGGATTAAGTAATCAGATTACAAAAATTAAGTACTTGTAATTAGATTAAATTACATTTTAAAATACTCAGAATCAGAGCACAGTTACTTTTTTATTGATTACATGATTACATATTCACACAAAAGCAATAAATTAATTGATTAATATATTAATACATTTATTGATTCTCCCTAATTCTTTTTTTTTTTAATCTTAAATGTTTTCAGAAAGTTTTCCAGTTTTGTGGACATTTGCACAAAGACCAGTCAATGTTCAGGTGGCTGTAATTAAGAGGCAATGCAGCAAAATCTTTTTAATTTTAAGTGTTTTCTCAACATTTCAACATTGCATCAACTACTGATGAACACGTTTTTTCATAGAATATTTAAACATGTATTACTATGTCTTTGGAAGGCTTTTGTCTATTAAACACATTAAAATACACAAATTCACGTTATTTGTCATCTGAACCTCTTTCACCTAATATTTCAAGTACCCCTGAAATTTTAAAGTAATAAGTTAAAAATTAAGTAACACATTTGCATGTTCACGGTTCTCTGACATTGGTTAATGGACACAAACTAATAAAATATCTTTTAATATTTTTTAGTAAATGTTTTATTTTTATTTTAAAATAATTTATTTTCATATAAAATGTTTATGATTTAGTTATAATTTGCTTTTCATTAAATTCACGAACCCCCTGCAATTCCTTCACAAACTGAAGTTTGGGAAACCTTAACGTAATGTAATGTTTATTGCACTATATTGTCAATAACAAATGGAATATATTTGATTTTTCTTTGCATTTTTATATCAATATGGTACAAGATTAGCCTATTTAAATATATATGACAAACGAGTTAGGTCAGAAGTTATCTAAAAGTAATCTGTAGTCTGATTATATAAATTAAAATGTGTAATGTAATGGATTACGTTACTAACTACGATTTTTGTCACGTACAATTTAAGTAGCCTACCCAGCTATATATATATATATATATATATATATATACATATATACACACACACATATATGTATATACAGTATATATATATGTGTGTGTGTGTGTTTCTTTGGTTCACTTTTAAAGTTATGAATATAATTGGCAACATTCTGAACAATGTTGTAAGACATACCACTTTTATTAAATGCACAGTATTACAAGGAACATTTCCACTGACTGCAGAGAAGCTTCTCACAGGATGCACAAGCATAGAGTACTGACACCTAAAGCTATTAAATTGTTTACTACACAGGGGAAAGGGCTAGTTGATCAATTACAGATATTATATATATATATATATATATAAAAAATCGAATCATATTTTTATTATGAACAACCACAGGAAAAAGAACTTATACATTGTCACGCAAAATAAACTGTATTTACTCACATATTGCCAGAGGCCCATTAGATGTGTTTTTCTTCCCTTTATAATGTCACACATTTGACATGATGCCTGTTTGAAACAGAATATATAGAGAGAACATACTATTTATATAGACATCTATTAGAACTGTACACAATGGATTATAAAGTACAGGCTGGCTATTAGAACACACAGAAATCTGTATAACAAAAAAAAAAAAAAAAAAAAAGAAAATGCCATGTTTGTACAATAAAGTCTTCACATAGTCAGTCAGCCACAACACAAGAAGAATTGTTTAGCGTAACTGACTGAATACATTTCTTCGATATCTTTAACATTAGCAAATAATCCCCTTCAATGTAAATAACCTCTTTCAGTGCATTTTCTTTTTCCTTTGTTTCTTTTTTTGCAGTGCTTACAATTGTAGGGTGAAAACTACAAAAATATGAGCAGTACATTTATAAAGAAAGTGCAAAGCTCTAAGAGGTCACAAGTCACTGCTCAAAAGATCATGACCGTAATGACCGACACTTGACTTGATTGGACGCTGTCCGACAACTCATGATGTCGGGTGTTAAAAGTAGGTCCTGCCAATGTACTGTTTGGAAAGAATTTGACATCAGTGTACAAAGAATGATTGATCCTGCTCATGAATATTTACAGTCTAATTGCATATATACAGACGCATTCAAAGCAACACATCTCCGGTACTTCACATCCTGAAGAATCAGTAAGTTGGTGCAAAATGTGTTGCTGGGGCCCAAGAGGAGCCCCGTCGAGCTGAATTGAGAAAACAACATTACTCTTGCAGAGGAGGACAAGTCGAATACTGTAGCCCTGGATTTCGTCAACAGTAATGATAGTCAGGTTGAGGGACTCGACGAGATTTTGTTTTGACCGGTCTGGTTTTACAGATTCAACTGAATCGAATATGTACTGCGTGTAATATTCAAGTAAGCCCCAAGTATAAAAGACAGTATTTCTGATGCTTATCCTAGCAAACATCACTAAGGAAATAATTACGATGGATTCAGAAAGTATTCAGACATTTTAATTATTTCGTTTCACAGCAAAATTTTTGTGTGCAAAAATGGCCCATGCTCAATTGTGTAGCGATGTATGAAGCACAGCAGTCCCTTTCAAACCCAAGCAGCTCAAACTCGTCGCGAAATCTGCATTGAGAAATCACACAAAATTCCTATTGAAATGAGTGGATTTGCAGAACGCTAAATGTGACCTCAGCTTTATACTAAAATGCTTTTTCACATCAATCTAAACTCCCTACCACATAACTGAAGCATCACATGGGTTGTGCGAAGTGTCTTAGGGCCTTGCGCTTTCATAACGACATGGCCATCTGGAATGAAGAAAGAGAAGACCAATGAACAGGATTCATATTCAAAACGGTAAGCAAGCGCTGCTTTGTTTACTTTGTTTTTGTATATCTGCAGTCCTAGTTTGAAAGACGAAAGTAGACTACATGCTGCACCACACTTGCGGCGGCCTTGCCCCAAAATGATAACGCAAAAACCAAATTTGAGAACTTTGCAAAATTAAAAAAACTAAATATTACATCGACTTAAGTATTCATATTCTTTGTTAAGTTCAGGTTGCATTCTATTTCTTTGTGCCATCATTGAGCTGTATCTACACTTTGACTGGAATCCACCTGTGGCAAATTAAACTGATTGGAAATGCGTACACCTGTCTATATGCGGTCAAACAAGTTAAAATTCAAATCAGGGCAAAAACCAAGCCGTAAGGGCAAAGGAACTGCCTACAAAGCGCGAAGCACAGATGGAAGCCTCTCCTAAGTCCAAGACACATGAAAGCTTAGATCTGCCAAAAAAAGGACTCTCAGACTGTGAGAATGAAGATTCTCTGGTCTGATGAACCTTATTCCATGTGTCATGTCTGGAGGAATCCAAGCACCTCTCATTACTTGTGCAATACCATCCCAACAGTGAAGCAGTGGAGGTGTTTTTCAGCAGCATGGACTGGGGAACTTAGGATCAGGCTGGGAGGAAAACTGAATACAGAGATATCCTTAATGAAAACCTGGTCCAAAGCACTCCAGACCTCAAGACTGGTCCAGTGACTCTAAGCAGAGTCAAGCTAATGCAAGAGTAGTTTTGGGACGACTCTACGAATATCCTTGAGTGACCAAGCCAGAGTTCAGACTTTTACTACCCCAACAAAAAAAAATCTCTGTCCACCAATAGTACTTATCCAACCCGACATTTTAAGGCTCTGCAGAGAAGAATGGCAGAAAATCCCCAAATCAGGATGCAAAGCTTGCCGCATTGTACCCAAAAAAAAACACCAAAGGTACTTCAACTAAGCATTGAGTTAAAGTTCTGAATACTTAAGTCATTGTGATATATATGATATATATATATATATATTATATTATTCTTTTTTTTATATAAATTTGCAGTTTTCACAGATGTTTTTGCTTTGTCGTTATGCCGTACGGAGAGTAGACTGAAAACACATTTTAGCAGAAGGCTACAGCAAAATGTGAAAAAACGAAGGGGTCTGAATACTGTCTGAATACAATGTCATATGAAAATGACAATTTCAGTTGCCATTCAGTCATTTGTAGTCTAAATAAACCCTGTTGGTTGGCAGTCGTCCTCCTCTGGTTCTGGGGTTGAAACACACAGGTTGAATCGGGACGGTCCCTTCATAGGGTCTTCCTGTTGTGACCTCAGGGACAGTCCGACTCGAGTCATTCTCACATGAACATTCACTTCAGTGCCCACCAAGCCCATCGCTTTGAAACGGCCCACAATACATCAAAACAAACCGATCATAGATTATCACATACACAGATTATTTAGCAGTTATTTCGCAGTTGATACATAAACAGATAATAATGAATAATCCGAGATCAAATTAAATCCAGCTGTTCAGGCAGGCCTGTTGTGTTATGGACAACATCTATGGATATACTTCCCAGGAACAGGTAAGAAAGAAATCTTCAGTCTTCGCAAAGGCAAAGTCCATCAAATTGCAACATGACAACAATTAAGGGTGCCTACACACTAGTTTACGCTATGTCAAAGAATGCTCGGAATTTGTTGATTTTGATGCTCTGTTATGTGACCAAAAGTGGAGGGAATTTGTACTTTGGCTGGAATGCACTCTGTTGACTACTGAGAATCCCAGGGAGGTGGGTCCAGTTGTGCTTTCAGAAATCCAATTGGTTGTATTTCTGCTTTATTTCAAACGGTCCTGGCTCTTTCCATCCATCCATCCATAATCCGGTATAGAGTCGTAGGGGTCCTGGAAATTATCTCAGCCTCTCGGGCCGAAGGCAGGGAAATATCCTGGATGAATTATCCAGTCTGGCTCTTTCCACACCCTCTTGCACAATTCAATTCATCAAGCGTCCGGTCAGAGTGTTTTCTAGTGTGTAAGCACCCTAACGTGTTACCACTGATGGACACAAGAACAACATCTCTCTCATTGTTCTTCGAACCTCAGTTAGAGAGACAAGTGCCCTTTGAATCAGAACTTCAGCGCATATGGCCAGGGAGCCAAACAAAGTCTGAGGAAATTCTTCAGTGCCACTGCTGGTGACTTTGCCTCTGTGCTCACTCCAAACACTCGGTGTCCAACCTCAAGCCTCTTCTGAAGAAAAAAAAAAAAGGTCTTGTCGCTGTGCTTCTATTACAAAGTTCGCACTGAGTAAGATGGGGCGCACTGAGATGTCCAAAAACGCCTTTCATCAACCTCAGCATTAGACATCAAAACTTGGCACAGATTAATCTAAAATTAGATCAAATGTGTAAAAAAAAAAAAAAAAAAAGGAAACATGAATCTGGCAGTTCCATGATTGTTACTCGATAGTTTGCGGTATAAATAGTATTGCAATTTGCGTAAAGTCTGCCAGAATGTCGCCAGGGCTTTGACAGCGTTGTGCTAATGACTAGGTCCTCATCAAGTCCGAATTCTGTCCATCTCGATAAACAAATGGTAAAAGAAAAACAAATATAAATTTTCCTAAACCAAATGACCTTTTTCTAAAAGGTTGTTAAACAAAAGGTCTACATTGTCTCTGACGCATATTTACAACAATCAGATGTTTCTGTTTGTAGACCATTTGGGGTTTTTAGAAAACATAATGATGCTTGACAGATATGGACATGTCCAGATGTGGAAAAACTCAAAGCAATGCACACAGTCAACTTTAAGGCCTTTAGTCTATGTGGTGAGAAGTCTGAAGCACAAGCCATTTTTAATGAACACACACACAAACACATCTATATTCAATCACTCATTCTAATCGAAACCATCCCTTTTATACCACGCATTCACACACTTTTTCTTGCTAACAATTACACACCCATACTGGCAAACGGATCAGCCCAGGATGTCCAAGTAAACAGGCGAGGCCTTGGCCAGGCTCTGGAGCAGGTTGTGGATTTCTTTGATGTTGAGTCTCATGTAGGGCTCCCTCTGCCAGCAGCCCAGCATCAGGTCATACACCTCTTTGGGGCAAGTACGAGGTCTCTGCAACACCCGACCCTGTGTGATACACTCGATCACCTGCAGGAGACAGCAGAAACACAGTCCAGAATGACAACTGAACACAGCCTCCACTAAGGGTGCATCAGTCTGCCTAGAAAGAGCCATTTTTACATGGAAAAAACTGGTTATGACTGGTCTGATGTGTCTTACCTCGTTGTTTGAGAGCTGGTACCAGGGTTGCTTGCCATATGTGAATATTTCCCAGAGGACCACACCCAAACTCCACACGTCACTCTCTGTGGTGAATCTCCTGTACATGATGCTCTCTGGGGGCATCCAGCGGATGGGCAGCATGGTGTGACCACCCACCTGAGATAAGAGATACAGATAAACAGTGATTCTTGGTAGAAGCACATGCACTTATTAAATCCATCTTCTACCATTTCAGTTCCTAGTCATTTCAGTACCATTTTAGAGTCTCCATAATGCGCAAAGTAAACTAATACTTTTTAGGGATGGATGATATATTAGTACCGTAATATTAATTAATACTAATATTATTAATACAGTAACACTTTACAATTAGGTTCCATTAGTTAATGTATTAACTAACATGAACAAACAATGAACAACACATTTATTAAAGTATTTATTAATCTTTGTTAATGTCAATGAAAATACAGTCTTATATTATTAATTCATGTTAATTCACAGTGCATTAACTAATGTTAACAAGCACAACTTTTGATTTTTTTATTGCATTATTATTTTAATAATGCATTAGTAAATGTTGAAATTAACATCAACTAAGATTAATAAATGCTGTAGAAGTATTGTTCATTCTTAGTTCATGTTAACTAAAGTTAACTAATTAACCTTATTGTAAAGTGTTACCGTTTTTAAAAACACTGATTTAATAACATTGTTACATATAATCTTTTTTTTTTCTTTTTTACACATTTCAAAATGAATATGCATTTTTCATACTGTACATCAGTTGTAGCATTTTCAATGATTTATTTTAGTTTTTGGTGTTCTATTTTGAATTTATTATATGTAGATAGTATAGTATAATACTGGTCATTTACTGGTCATAATATGAAAATAATTATTGACTTGTCGGTTTTTAATATTGGTGCATCCCTCATTCTTTTATAAGGTATACTACAGTGTTGCAATGTTCCTTCATCAGCATCTATTAATGCACTGTTAACAGGCATTAATTTTTCAAACAGTATTATTTTGCACACTAAAGGAATATTGGTAGTACTTTTACAATCTATACAATTTTTAATTATTATTCAGCAAGGATGCAGCAAAAATTGATCAAAATTTACAGTAAAGGAATTTAAAATGTAACACAAAAAATAAAAAAAAATAAAAAATGGTGTTCTTTTGAACTTTCTATTTATCTAAAGGCTAATTTGCTCCACAAGAAACACCAACTAATGTCCAGATTACAGTACAAGACCCAACAAACGCAGATCCAGCACTGGCAAACTGCAGCATTGTATAGTTTTAATTGGCCTAAACAATCCTAAAAAAAAAAAAAGTCACAAAAATATTATGCAGCACATATTAGACTGATTTGTGAAGGATCATGTGACACTGAAGACTGGACTAATGGCTGCTGAAAATTCAGCTTTGCATCACAGGCATAAACTGCATATTGAAATATATTAAAATAGCAAACAGTTGTAATAATATTTCACAATATTACTGTTTTACTGTATTTTTGAGTAAAGAAATGCAGCCTTGGTGAGCATAAAAACTTTCAAAAACATCAAACTATCTTACCAACCCAATGTTTTGAACAGTAGTGTAAATACTATGTTTGTACTATAGTTATTACAATAACTGGGTAATAATTAGGTTACTACCCTTGAACCAAAACTTAAACCCAATTAGTTACTTTACACACATACTATAAAATTAAGTGCAACCAGAATATTTCCCAAAAAGAAAAACTGCCATATGTAATCACCTTGTGTTGTTTCAAACAAAGTCTTCTGAAGCCATAGAATAGCTTTGCAAGAAATAGAAAGAATTCATTGTTAATCTTCCCCTCTATCACACATCTTAAGTGCCAGATGCCATTGGTTCTTGCAGCAGAACTGAATGTGCAGAAGTGTAAATGAGATTGAGGAGGGGATGATTTTCCATTAATCTGGGTCTTTCTTACACAAAGCTTCTGTATGGCTTCAGAAGAGATGGAATATGGAAATTTTCTGTGCATCCAGCAAAATGCTCTGCTCTACAGTTTATTAGATAGCACAATGAACTTTCCACATTCAAGACCAGAAGAATAGTAATTGTGATACTGAAAATCAGTGTATCAATCTTGTATAAATGGGACCTCAGATTGAGCATATGGGTCCTTTACAGCATGAAATGGTGCATAAAACTACTGCAGTGTTTTGCCACAGTACCTAGTTTATTGCAAAACTTTGAACTCATCACCTGAAATTGCATTGCAGGATTCCTGGTGATCATACAATGACAAAATCCTGTTTTTTTTCTATTGCTATACGGCAGAGGGAGCTGATATTCCTTCATTTCTCTCTCTCTCTCTCTCTCTCTCTCGCTCTCTCTCTCTCTCACACACACACACACACACACTCTGCTGACAGAGTGTTTCCGGCTGTGTTGGCAACATGCAGGTTCGGGAGAGCCCTTGAGTATCAGATGGTCTGGGCTTTTTCTGGAAGAACTCACTGTGGGGAACTGTTGGTTTTTGAGGCACTTTCAAATTTACAGTATTTAATCAGCTGTTCAGATGCATACATTTAAATAGTCATAATAAACCATAATAACAAAAGACAAAATAACAGTATATCAGTTATATTATCCATTATGGACATAAACAAACTGCCTTTTGCTTTTATGAATCAGGAAAAAAGTCAGGAAACAGAAGAGAGAGGCTGAGATCAGGAAATGACCCAAGACAGAATTGACCTTAGATTAAGTATGTCAAGTTTTGACTCCAATGCCATTTCCTCCTGAAGAGTGTGAATGTTCAGGCAAGAATCTGACATGGGCCTGTGGATTATTTTTAAGTGGTTTCTCAGAGAGTGTTCACCCTCTTCAGTGGCTTGGTTTGAGCAACCAGTGAAAATATATCATACATATCTGTAATCTTTTCTGATTTGATTCTGAACACTAATAGCTGTAGTGTGTATCTTTTTGTGCTATTAGTGGCAACAAATGCAATTGCAATATGTTTATTTTAGCTGCACGACTTTGCAACATTATCTCAAACAAAAGTTTTCTTAGAAAACAGTCTTTCCTTTTGCAGTTCTGTTTGGTGTCACACCGAAGTAAAATACTGCTTACTAAGTAATGTAACATCACAAATAGCAGCATTTTTGCTGTAACAGTTAATTGAAGCAAAACTTTAATCAATATATTTTAATTTACTGAAAGAGAATGGTTAATATTCATATGGATAAGCAAACATGCAATAAATGCATTTCAGTGCCTCTACTGAATGTATGAAATTATTTTACTTTCAATCTAAGCTGTAAACACATATTCAGGATTTTGTAGATGTTATTATGTACAAATGTAACAATTTAAAGGGGTCATCCGATGCCCATTTTCCACAAGTTGATATGATTCTTTAGGGTCTTAATGGAAAGTCTGTAACATAGTTTGGTTAAAATTTCTCAATGGTAGTGTAAAAACACCTTTTTTTTACCGTCAAAAACAGCTCTTTTCAGAGCAAGCCGTTTTGTAGCATTTTCCTTTAAATGTTAATGAGTGATTCCAGCATTTTATTTTAATCCTTTTCTTTTAAAAAACAAAAACAAACTTTTAGCTTATACTCACTTCTTCTGTAGGTGAATCTGGATCACGAATGATTCGCGCGAACATAAACACATTTAGGTAGATCGGGGGCACATTCCCTTAAAAAAAAATGTAATCCACTGCATCTTCAGCGGCTCAGATGTTGGGAGTAAATGATGACTGCTATGTTCATTATGACATCCAACAACAGAACACCTCAATCGCTCAGGAGACATTCTTACATCTGCTCCGGCGGTGAAACAATGGCGGACTGATGACAGCTCACTCAGGGCGGGTCTAAGGTAAGACGCTAGTCCAGTCTGTGCTGAAACGCTACTGTCAATCAAACTATCGTGGGAGGGGCCTGTTTGTGTGACGTCACACAGACAGGCATCTGAGATCGGCTTGATTTGAGAAAGGGGGAAAGATTTTAGTAGATTAAAAAAAAAAAACTGGGAGGATTTTTATTATTATAGGGTGGGAGGGGCCTGTCTGTGTGACGTCACACAGACAGGCATCTGAGATCGGCTTGATTTGAGAAAGGGGTAAAGATTTTAGTAGATTAACAAAAAAACACTGAGTGGATTTTTATCATTTATAGGGTGGTTGTGTACACACACTGCCAACACACATTTCAGTTCAAACAATTTGTAAAAGTGCACGTAGCATCGGATGACCCCTTTAAGAACCAACCGTTGAAATACTCATATTGGTCAATAATCTGTCTCCTCAATGCATATGGTGGGTAATGTTGTCACGATGTTTGTTTAAAGAAGTTTACCATCAATATTTCATATTATATAATAGTTTCATTACTGTATGATATGTAATTTTAACAAAATCATGTATCAATGTAGTTATGCCTTCAGATTTCAAATTAAACAAGACATTTGTAGTAGATTTTGAGTTCCTCAGACCAAAAAGACCACTGTGATATGGACATTTCCAAGGTGACCAACACTTACCCTGTAGTAGTCGGTGCTGTACACATCTCTGGACATGCCGAAGTCTCCTATCTTGACAAGCAGGTTCTCTCCCACCAGGCAGTTGCGTGTGGCCAGGTCTCTGTGCACAAAATGCTGTGAGGCCAGATACACCATGCCTGCTGCTATCTGCTGAGCAATGTGCAGCATCTGAGGCTGAGTTAACTCCACCAGCAAACTGTGCTGTCCGTCTGCCATCAGCACCGCGTCTGGACCATGCGCCCTGTTAGAGAGAGTATGGGAATAGCATGTGTGAAACTGACCATTGTTGGACATCAGAAAGTGGACAACACACAAACACATTTTGCTTAGCATTTAAAAAGTATAGCTAAAAGTGTGACAATCATCATCACACTTTTAGACCCCACTAACTTGCACAGTAAGGACAAAAGTCATGCAGGTTTGGAAAGACATGAGGATAAATGATAATTTTTGGTTTGGAGTGAACTATCTGGGTGTATTTAACCCAGAACTTGCTTTAACCTCCTTTACAATTTTGAAACATTGCTGTTTGTGATAAACGCTCTCCTGCAAACCTGAGAAATCTGTTGAGGTCTCCATGTTTCATATACTCAAACACCATGATGAGAGGGTCGCATTCTACACACACGCCATAAAACTTGACAATGTGCTCATGCTGCAGGTTGGTCAGGAGCTCTGCCTCTCGGTGGAAGTCTGCTCGCCCACTTTCGCTGGCTTCTTTCAGAGTCTGCGAGATAAAAAAGTATGATCTCTTATTACAGAAACACCTACTGTAAAGTCTCATTTTGTAGCCAAAATTTAAAATGTTCACAATCCATTTTACTTGTGCAATTTTGATGAATGTTTCGTTGTGTAAATGCACCATACCTTAACAGCCACCAAAATCTTCTCTTGGTCAGGTGACAAGTTGTAACATTCAGCCAAGAACACTTTCCCAAAAGCCCCTTCTCCAAGCTCCCTCTTTAGCAGAATGTTGTGACGCTTTATGTGTTGGACGACTGCAAAACAAGGAACGCTCATAGTTAAAATTAGATTCAGAAAACATTTGAGTGGTGCTTGTTCATACTAAAGCTAGGGCATTGTGTGCATCTGTCAGGGTGTTATTTTGTGGTCACTAATGTGTACTGAGTGCTTTTTTTTTCTTTTCTTTTTTTTTTTAGAATGTTGCAATGCCATTGCTAGGGTGTTCTAGGTAGCTGCCTCCTGGATATTCTAGTTTTGGGTTCATCCTTTAATGTACATCTATGAGATTGTTTAGCCCGTTTCATTGTCCACAAGGTGAAAATAAGTTAAGTGTTGTTGTTCAATCATTAAAGTCAGCAAAAAACAGAAGTTGTGATCGTTGATTGACCGGATTGTGAAAAGGTGAGCTTGCATACTTGAATTGAGCATTTGAATGTGTTTGGATTAACTGCAGTGTGGTCCAGTGTTATTGTACTATTACTGATATACAATTATAGTTTTTGTTCATATTTTGAATTAGATTTTATTTTAATATTTTTTGTTTTCATTTTAATTTTAGTTCAAGTTTTTAGCAATTTTAGCAATTTTGTTCTGTTATATATATACATGATTCAAAGACAAGATGTCTTAAAATCAAATTAAATTTACAAAATTTACAAAACTGATTTTATATACACAGAAAGCATATTAAAGTAAAGTATCTACTTTAATGTTTCAAATAACTTTTGTGAAAAATAAAATGTCAAAATTGAGGTTTGATGCTTGGAAACATATATAAATATGTTTATATAGTTTTTATTAAGTTGTAGTTTTTAGTTTAAGTAAACAATAATAAACCCTTGTATACATCAGTAGAAAGAAGTGAGTCATATCATAGAAAGGGCAAGTTATGACATTTTGATTTAATATAGCTTAGAGGTCAAAAAATATATATGCATGGATTAATCAGTCATAATAACACCAGCAATAAGAAAATAAATAGGGTCAATTTTGCTTTCATGCTGACTTAACCCTACATATGAGCAACGGTACAGGATGCTTGCTATAGCAAACACCACTAATAGTCCATCAGGTGTTGGTAACATTTACAGATGAACTGTGTTAGATCCTCAAATGTAAATGAATTGAATGTCGGGAAGTCGTGGCCTAATGGTTAGAGAGTCGGACTCGTAACCCAAAGGTTGCGGGTTCGAGTCTCGTACCGGCAGGGATTGTAGGTGGGGGGAGTGAATGTACAGCGCTCTCTTCCACCTTCAATACCACAACTGAGGTGCCCTTGAGCAAGGCACCGAACCCCCAACTGCTCCCCGGGCGCCGCAGCAAAATAAAATGGCTGCCCACTGCTCCGGGTGTGTGTTCACGGTGTGTGTGTGTTCACTGCTGTGTGTGTGCACTTTGGATGGGATAAATGCAGAGCACTAATTCCGAGTATGGGTCACCATACTTGGCCACATGTCACGTCACTTTGAAATGAAAAAAGCTTGCAGATACATTTACAGTCCAACAGTGATTAAGTTGCACAGCGTCAGCCACCCCTGATATCATCGCCATGGTGATAGAAGGGGAGGTTACTATGACAACTGACCAGTGGCAACCTAGGCTGAAATCTATTTCAGCAGATGGAGTGGGGCCGCTGACGGCCCAGCATGCCACGGCAACTCACGAGTGTCCGATTTCAGTATGCTGCCGGGGTTACGGAAGTACTGGGGGTTCTCAATGACTGGAATCTTTGTCATTCCGATAATAACGGCATCTGGGCCCATCTCCGATGATGATGGCGTGTTGTTGCCGTTGGAAACGTGGTGGAGGGGGCTGGCAGAGTCATCGTCATTACTAATGACAGATGAAGAGCCTGGTAGAGACGAAAAAAAAAAAAAAAAATTCATAGTAATAATAGGAATTCACATTCTTAATATACATGCAAATGTGTTGAAAAGTGCATTGCTATAAGAGAGGAAACAATAACCATGATTTTTGTTTAAAAGGTGCAACTAATATTGTTGTTAAAATATTCAAATTCATATTATTCTATATTTGTATGTGATATGTTACAGTAATAGATGACGTTATCTGCCTTTACTTTCATAATGTGACATATTTCTTAGTAAAACGAGATATTCAACTAGGTAAAAAAAAAAGGCCAGGATTTTTTTTTTTTCAACAGGAACCGATTCGATTGTGAAATGTGGGCGTTCCAAATCAAAATGTAGACAGACTGCTAAAACTTTTGCTAAAACGATGCTTAACAAAAGTACTTGCATCTTACAAACACATATTCAGCAGAAGTGAAAAGCTAAAGTGGTGCACTTACCTTTCATACCAAACTTGGAGCTTCTGCCATACTTGAGGAAAACTAACATCAGGATACATCCAGTTAAAGCAACCCCAGCTATTCCAACCACTATGTAAACCTAGAATATAAAATTGTACAGTAGATTTTACTGAAGCAAGCACGTCTCTAGTCTGGGGTGGGTTTGAACTGATTTAGCACAGTAAATCTAAAAAATGTACAGAAGCATCAACTGCATCAAAGAAAGGCGCTTACAAATAGAAATTGCTTGCTTTAACATTACTTGCTTTAATATTGTCATAAATGGAAACTGTCCAATAATGAATCCAATGATTAACAGAATACTGCTGGTGAATATCTGTTAAGCTCTGTCAACAGTAGCTGCGGCCTGCTGTCGATTACTACATAAAATAATGTGTCTAGTCTCTCAGTTTGTAAAAACAAACAAAAAGAATGTGTACTTACAAGGAAAGTCTATTGGGAAAGATTCAGCCACCTAGAAAAGTAATCTCACCTCAACAAAAACGATTTAGACAACTTTACAGCTCAAATAAACTATTTTTACTGAAGTGCTTAAACAAAAGTACCAGCTTCATATTTCTGCCTTCAACCTCTCTAGAATGCTGGCCCCATTGACTTTCAGTGTAAGTACAAACTGATGGATGGGTCAAAATAGTTTTCTGTAGAAATCAACAGCAGTCCACAGATGTTGTTGATAGAGCTTAAGATGTATTTAACCTAAAATGTTCCTTTAATCACTCTATGCAAAAACATACCGCTACTTTGTCCTCCAGTGGTGGGGTATCTTTAAAAAAAATAAGGCAGATAAAACAAATTACACTATTTAAAGGATTGCAGTTCAAAACTATAAAAGCCTGAAGGCCAAATACATGTAATGTACATGAATAGACTTACCTGGACTAAATGTTGTGTCTGTGTTACATCATTTAAATGGAAATAAAAATGGAAATGGATTATCCAGTGATAAATAACATTCTATAAACGTCACAATATTTTTAATGGGGTACAAAGAGCAGCTGGGTGAATCTCATGAAAACCATTCAGAAATTTCCAGGTCATATGTCACCTCATACATACTTTTTAGAACTATACTTTTTTTTGGCATTGTGGCCCTATTTCTTAAAATGTGTTAAGTACCATTAATAGTATAGTATTTCTTGTTCTGAACTTTACAATAATGATTTAAAATAAATAATTGCATCCAAATAGGATTTTCATGAGTTCAGTACAAAATTAAGAATGAAGAACAGTAATGAAGGTTTTGGTGAGAAAATGTGCTTAATTTTCATAGAAAAATACTGTCACAATGCTAAAAATCTTCAAGGTCCTAATATAAATTTCTGTGTTTTTTTTTCTTTCTTTCCATTTTAGGGTAAAATATTTCGAGAGGATATTTTTAAAGCAATATTTCCTTTTTAAAGTTTCATCCAGCTGACTTAAAATTTTGCATGGTTTAATTCACCAAAATATTGTTTCACAAGACAACTTACCGTAATAAAACACTCCCTCTGTGGAAACAAAAATGTGACAGATGTTTGCTTTTACACATTAATAGACTGTATTATTTAGAATAATAAATAACACATACATTTTAGAATGATGCAAGAAAACCCGAGCCCACCTGTCCCTGAGTGGTCCTCATCAGGTGTGTGCATGAAGTGTGCTGACACGTTTCCCCTGTCCTCTCCGAACTCATTGCTAGCCACCAGTGTGTAGATGCCATTATGGATATGAGTGGGAATGTCCAGCTGCAGACAGCCGTGGTACTCCGTATCCGTGATTTCATGGATTTCAGTCTTGATGTACTGCTGCTCCTCCAGCAGCTTCCCCTCGTGGTACCAGTGCAGATCAGGCCTCGGGTTGCCCATCACAGTGAAAGGGATGCACCAGTCCTGGTTCCTCACGGGCTGGTACAGCTGCACGATAGTAGGGGGAACTGACCCAGGAGAAAGAAGAAGGAGCAGAGGAACGAGAGAGAAGGGAAGAGGGGAGGAGGAGAGGAAGTGTAATCACAGGATGTACCACAGGAGTAAACGAGAGGAACGTGGAAACTTTCGCTGTAGTTTGACGAAAGGAAAGTGTCCGACAGCACATGGAATGGAGGGGCAGTATAGAGGGATTCTAGGGTGAGAAATACAAGAGAATGATAAGAAATGAAGAGGCTTACCGTAATATTACAAAACAACACGAAGAAACATGCAAAAGTAAAATGGATTGACAAAGCTTGTTAATGGATTTGTCGCTGATAGGCGGAAATGAAACGTTATGTTAGCGTAACATATAGAAGTGTTATGCACATATAAAAAAGTGACTGATTTGTTAAACGAATAGATCACTAAAAAAATGAAAATTCTTATTGTTCAAAACCATATGATTTTCCAGCAAAATTTCCAAGCTGCTCCTCATGACGAATTGAGCCATGCTTGATGTCAATGAAGTCAAAAGTCAGTTTCTCGCATTGATTCTCATGGCCGTTTGAGATATTTTTTGAAGCTTGGCAGACCATTTACTGTATATACACTCTACCATTCAAAAGTTTGGGGTTGGTAAGATTTTTTTTTTTACTTATTCCTGTGATTGCAAAGCTGAATTTTCAGCAGCCACTTGCCAATGTAATAATACACTCATTTGGTACTCAAGTAACATTTAATTTTATTTAAAAACTGTTTTGCTGCTTAATATTTTTGTGGAAACCATGATAAAAATGTTTTCAAGATTCTTGGGCCTGGTTTTTTGAGCCTGGTTTTTCCCAAGGTTTTTTCTCCATTTCTGTCACCGATGGAGTTTTGGTTCTTTGCCGCTGTCGCCTTTGGCTTGCTTAGGAGAGCTGAACTGGATGATGACATCACTGAATCATCAATGAACGGACTTTAGCTGCAAAAATGACTCTGTTATTGTCTTCTTGCATTATTGACAAAACTATTTTCCTGTTTGACACTCTAAAGCTGCTTTGACACAACCAGTATTGTATAAAGCGCTATACAAATAAAGGTGACTTGACTTGACTTGGATTCTTTCAGGAAAGTTCAACAGAATCTTTTATTTGAAAATTTTTGTAACAATGCAAAAGTCTTTACTCTGTCATTTTTAATTGAACATGCACACAACTTAAAGGGATAGTTCACCCAAAAATGAAAATTCTGTCATTAATTACTCGCCCTCATTTCATTTCAAACCCGTAAGACCTCCGTTCATCTTCGGAAAACAAATTAAGATATTGCGTTGTTTACGTTAGGGGGAAAGCGCGCGCATGAACGTAATCGGCGTAATCAGCATTGTTTACACTTAGGGAAAAGCATGCGTATGCGTTGTGATACTCTCCAAAATGGCGGAAGACTAACTCGGGGGAGAAAAATTGTTGAATAAAGTCGTAATTTTTGTTTTCTTTGCGCACAAAAAGTATTCTCGTAGCTTCGCAAAACTGAAGTTGAGCCACTGATGTCACATGAACTGTTTTACCGATGTCCTTGCTACGTTTCTGTCAGGGAACATTACAGTTGCGTTGCTGGCTATGCAGGGTCAGACAGCTCTCAGATTCCATCAAAAATATCTTAATTTGTTTTCCGAAGATGAACTTCGGAGGTCTTACGGGTTTTGAACGACATCAGGGTGAGTAATTAATGACAGAATTTTCATTTTGGGGTGAACTAACCCTTTAATGTTTCCTTGCTGAATGAAGGTGCTGGATATTATTTGCTTTAAATAAATGAATAAAAAAATAAAAGTTTTACTGACTCCAAACTTTTGAATGGTTTTGTATTTAAGAGCAGTTTGGACCTTGTGCTAAACATTTGTTTTTGTGTTCCAGGGAAGACAAAAAATATGGGTTTGGAATGACATGAGGGTGAATAAATGATCTTCACTGAATCTTCACAAAATCCTCGACTGAAAGCTTTATTTTTTTCCCTTAATATGTTAACTATCCCTTTAACTACAAAAAAAAAAACACAAAATAAAACGGGTATATTCAATAAGGCTCAAAGCTTACTATTAAGAGGGAAAAGTTTTTGCAACAATGTAAGTTTTGTCAGGCCCGGTCTAATGTGATAGCTTGAGGGGAAACTTCCTGAATCTTAAGCATTTGGCACATTTTCAAATGTATCTTGAACTCTTAAAAACCGTCTAATAGTTCAACCAACCAGGAAAGCATCTAATCTCCACGCATTCCCAGAGCCTCCCATTCGGTTTGAAATCCTATTATTTTGTCAGAATGTCAAAATATACTTGGAAGACATCAAACTCAAAAATCACAGAAAAAAAGATGGTAATATTAATCATTACAATGTTTGTGAGTGTGACTGCTCAACAGTTTGAATCATTAGTTCCACTTCTAGGATTTAAATTGCACCTTTGATGAACAGACACATTCCACCTCTGAAATAATACATCATGGGGAAATTACTGGTTCAGTGATTTGTACTTAAAGTACCAATTGAAGTTTGGACGCACTCGACTTGAACTTCTGTTCTTAAAGGCACTTTTTATCGACTGGCTTGTTTCAAATGAGTTTTGCATAAAAAATAATCTATTGCTACATATTAATCTCTCTTCTATATTTATAGTTATATTTAAAAATAGATGTATTGGAACAGATTGTGAAGAAAAGACAGGCAACAAATGTCCAGCATACATGTGAATGCCTTCAATAAGATTTAAAATTAGGATGCGCCTCATGATTTGGTTGAGGGAAGCCCAGAGTGTGCAGAGCTGTATACAGTGGGGTGGTGACTTTTAAGCTCAAATACAAGTTAGTTTTGATTAAAAAAATTTCACTACATAATTCCCATGCTTCCATCTGTATTATTTCTTAGTTTTGATGACTTTACTATTATTCTAAAATGTGGAAAGTCATAATAATGTCTGATGAAAACCTACATTCAACAATAATATATTTTATTTGTAATTGTTCATGCATGATAGCAGAGTTCTACATTTTCATGATAATGTTGTTAAATACGAACCAGATTTGTTAAATTCAGTAACCTAGGATTATATTATACATGGGAACATAAGACATGTTCTAAACTTCAGATACATGGTCATCAGCTGTGTTGGGACAGATTACCAAGTAACCTGTTACACTATTGCATAACTCCCAAAAAGTGTTATTTTTTGTTAATCTAATTATTAGCAATCTAATTATGCTACATTGTTACTTTTTTATAGAAATAATGAAGAAACTGGTTGACTTTTACGCGTTTATCTGAAAATGCATCACGGTCCTAAGGGACTACACACTCTGGAAACCTCTCACTTTTGTTGGAGAGAAAATCTTTGGGCTTTTATTAGTTGATAAACTGTGATACGTGAAATAAAAAGCATCCTCTATATGTGTGGTTTTTAGCTGTTTCACCTTGAATAGTCTTCATTCATTGTATTCAAAGATGAGGATGTCACACAACCTGTCCATGTTGGAATCTGCCAAATTTGGATTGCTTCTATCAAGCGACAGATGGGTTTGCACTAAAATACAATAAGCTTCATTGAACACACAGCCTTTGATGTCCTACTGATTTCATGATTATATGGATTATACATTTTATTTTTGGGTGAGTTGTGTGATAAGTGGTGGACGGTAACAAATAATTTTACTCTTAAGTATATTTTTGTAGTATCTATTTTTTTAAATTTTTTTTTAGTTTTACTTTACTGTATTATAGCATAATGTCTTGACTTTTTACTTCACTATATTTCAGAAAAAAACATAAGCCAAGAACTGAGAGTATTATGATCCTCCAGTGTGCTGACTACTAATAATTCATAATAATGAGCTCTAACCTATTTTAGGTCTATTATATCTGAGTGACTGGCACATTAGACCCCTCTATCTTAATGGAGGATGAAGCACATTAAATTGCAAAAAATAAAAAATTAATAATAATAATAATAATAGGTAGTCCTTATAGCTCAGTAATTGTACTCAACTAGAAATTCAAAAGGAGTACATGTACATTTATAAGTAAGTATAGAGTAATATTTCATCAGGGTATCCTTAAATCAAGTACAGGATTTGTGTACTTTGTCCACCACTGATCATGATCCACCATTTGAGCTTAGATTGGAACGAACCTTAACTTGGGGTTCATTCTGTCAAAGCAATGCAAAGTAAATCCACACAACACATTCTGAGTTCTTACAAAGAATATTGAGAAGGACTGAAGCCTCAGTCTGGCCCACAATGTTCTCGGCACTACAGGTGAGTTCTCTGCCGTTGTCATCAGGTGAAAGTCCACTTAGAGTCAGAATAGACTGCAGCTCCATTTTGTGAGAAATCTGTGAGAAAGAAACCACAGCTCTGATCTGATCTGATTATGTTTAAAAGTATTTGCCATGCAAAACTCGGTACCATGATGCTAGGGTGTTCTGAGTGGCTGCCAGGGCATTGCTACTGTATGTATGTGCTAGGGTACTCTAGGTCATTTCTAAGTGGTTGCCTACTTGACCAAAGTAAAAAAAAAATGTCCACACACAAGTCTTTCTAATATTCTGGTACACTGAATAAAATTATACTTTGGATTAATTTAACAAAAAAAAATGTTTTTTTCTCGAATTGGGTTCCAACCTTAAATTTGGATTTAATATAAACCCCAAAAAATTGTTTTACCCAAAAACAAAAAATAAAAAGATTATTTATTAAAAAGGCCATAGTTTACATGTTTTCTTTAGACATAAGCCAAAATGTCAGTGTTAGGTCAACATAATGTTTTTTGGCCTTTTTACAACTTAATTTCACCATAAACAAAACCTAAATTAGCTAATATGAAAGTAGAAAAATAAACACCAGAAAAATTAATAAAACCCAATGTGCGTTCTTCACATTGACATACTATTTAATGCTATTCAGAATTGTATTTAAACAGAATTGTTTCTTTTAATTGTTTCTACGGGGAGTGTTATTTGCTCTTATGCAAACTGAATTCAACAGGTTTAAAAAAACATGATTTTCAGTTAATAAAAATGCACTTTAAATAAATTACGTCATTTCACTTTTTTTTCCAGACACGACTTGGGTCCCTTCTTCAAAGTAAATCTATGGGATTCATCTTCTCATTTTATTGGCTGCCAAGAAAAAAAATATTGCTTGCAAAATCGTTAGCACAAACTGTGCAGGTTGCCATACTCAGGGTTAGGTTTAATGAAGTTCGTGATGCACGCCTTAGTCTTCTTTTACTATGCAGTAACACCAAACATCCCAGGTGAACAAAGCGCCATTAACTGGAGCTAAATAATCTATGTTCTTATTCTACACCTCAGTGTATTTAATCTGTCATACAGGCTGTTGTTTTCACCGTCGGTGAAGGCTCCTTTAATGTAAGTATTATAGTGAGCATTTTAAATATTAATGGAAACAAAGCTTTTACTGGCTAGAGTCAAGCATCTGTGGTTTCAGCGCTGTGATCAATTATATTTGAAAGCACATTATAGGATGCTACAGAGAGTTAAAAAGGTGTTTAAGTGTCCTTAACGTGTAAAACTGGTATAAGGAGTAGAGAGGTTAAAACTGATGTGAGGATGGCAGACATGTACAGGTCTACTACTAGTAAATAAGGCTATCATAAATAGGGCTATTATATTCTACTAAACCCTGTATTCCATCTTGTATTCCACCTGTTATTCCACCTTAAGGTTACTTATGATTTCGTGGAAGATCTCATTATGCTATGCATCTACAAGTAATGGCAGATTTGATGCAGAAGCTCAAGAGACTTTGGCTGTGTTCAGAATAGAATACTAGCATTATCACATTACATAAGTGCATCTAGTTATTATCTCTGAAATAAGAAAGTTAAGTATTTTTTTTTACACAAAACTGAATTACTCATTTTATATTTTTATTCAAATTAAAAAAAAGTCTACTTTTTCAAAATGAATCAAATAGTCAAAATAGAGAAATTAAAGGGTTTGTTCACCCAAAAATGAACATTCTGTGAAAAATGAACACTCACTCTCGTCATTCTAAACCCATAATATTTTCTTTCATCTTTGAAAAGCAAAATAATGAAGAGATTTTTAATCCTCTACGTATGTGCGTTAATCAATGTTTATATATGAATAAAAGCCTACATTAAATCTGTTCATCATATAAAGTGACTGTGTCTCTTTGGAAGACTTGGACTAAACTACTTGATTCATATGGATTACTTTTAATCTTTATCTTATCTCTTTATAAACTTTTTGAAACGTCATAGTTTTGCTGGAATGAACTTTCAATGTAAAGACAGAAATCGCTTAGATTTCATAAAAAATATCGTTTGTGTTTTTCGAAAATGAATATTTTATGGAATGAGTAGATTGCATTGTATTGTTATGGGATAAAGTATTCCGCACAGTGTGTTTTATTTAAACACTACACTTTTAAAGGGGTCATATGATGCAATTTCAAGTTTTCCTTTCTCTTTGGAGTGTTACAAGCTGTT